AAAGGAGATGAAAGACTTTCCAAGAAGAAAGGCCAACCAGCATAAAGGCATGAAGCATACAACAGTACTGCATGTTTGGGGAAAAGAAGAATTCTTACGTGACCAGCGTATGGGTTTCTGGGGTGGCCAGGTGAAGCATAACAGAAGACTGGGCTCAGAATCAGGCAAGAAATGGTGCCTGGAGTTGTGGGTCATATGGAGTCATGAAAGACATCTATGTAGAGCCCCAAACAGCCATGGAAAAGAGGTGGTTTGTTCTCTATGTGTCCAACTTGGATTGCAAGGGACAAAATCTGTTCCTAGTAGGTTTTGAGAACTTGGCCAAGAGATTATGACACTTTTGAATCAAGGGTAGAAACTGAACTTTTGATACAGCATGGTTACCTGGTGTGCTCTATTGTACATAATTCCTATTTGCCTTCCTTTGTTTTCCTTTTCTCGCTCTCAACCTTTATTGGACAAATTCTGCACTAGAAGTTTCTTTTTAGGCACTATGGGGGAAACACAAAGGAGTAACTTATGTCTTTTGCTCAGAGGACACCTAAACCCATGCTCAAATAATTCTTTTTGCAAACCAAATCTTATTTTATTCATTAGGACAGCCCACGTTTAGAGAAAGGTGAAGAGGAGGGCTTAGAGAGAGTCATGTTTTCAAGAAAGTAAGTCCCTCCCTCTCTAGTATATGTGTTCTGCAAATGTGAATTTTTATATATTTGCTCTGGGGTTTTTGATTTTTCTTTATCTCTTTATGAGTTGTGAATGTGACATAGTTTTGAAGGACTTCATTCCCAGCACAAAATCACCTATTAAAGCTTATTCTCCAATTACGAAGAAGCTTTGAACGCAGGAAAGAAAATGGGAGGTTTGGGGAGAGAAGAGAAACAACTCAATAATAATAACAGGACGTGAACATTTCATTGGTCTAAGAGAACAGATGTGCAGATAGAAACCCTACAGGCAGTTTAACCAGGAGAGCAGAGATGGGGAGGCCATTAGACAAGACTGCAGGATTATGTCAGTTCCTAAAGAAGCAGATGCATTAAATATTTAAATGGTGGTATTCTAAAAACTGATTATTATAAAAATAGTCAAAATAGTTGACAGTTGGCATACAGACCCCAAACTAACTTGTTTTACTAAATTCAAATTTCATGGCTTGTTTAATTTGCAAACTGACATGAGATACACTGAATTGATATGTGTTGGGTTGTTAATATATTTATTCATTATCTATTTATTTGTTCAACAGACATCTATTGACCATCTATACTGAAGAAAGATGTCTGGCAGACCTTAGTAAAAATGCCATTACAAAACGAGATAAAGATGAGGAATAATTGGTATAATAATCAAGAAAGGGCAGTGATGATTATCACTCTAACTAAAGACAAACCACACTTATTGAATTTCTGACCACTACAGAAACAAGAGTATTGAACACTGAGATGAGTTCAATACACAAATACCCCACATTTGTGGATGGATACGCAATACAGAACAAAGCGCATTGCACTGATGCCTGGAATGTTCTGCATACTGGCCCAGTGATTCATTTGCAGACCATGCTGGACAGGAGCATGTCCATACAGAGGTGACTTCAGGTGTTCAGTGCACAGTTTATGGTCATTAAAGAGAACTGCATGGGGGGAGGACAGAGATTCAGGACATGGGATTTCCAGGCTCACTTATCTTTAACTCTGTGACTTCTTTTTGTCCTGAGTTTATTTACAATCTCTAATTCCTTCTGATTCTGCATTTTGGGTAGACAGAAGAGTTTCCTCTGATACTAAGCTGTAGGAAATGCACCTGGCCACCTTAAGGGAAGATCTGAGAGCCAAATTTGGGAAACATTCCTATTTTTTAGAAGACAACAAAGATCTCATTTTTCCTTTAGATAAACCAAATAAAGAGTAATAGTTTTTGGGCATGGAAAGGTCTGGGAAACCCAGTCAGGTCTAGGCTTGTCTGGGTGTTTCTATGATGTTAAGTGTGGGTATCTCATAGTAAAAGTGACCCAGAAGGACATGCCCCAGTGTTGCCTTTAGGAAAAGCTACTTTTTAACAAAGTCCACCTGGTTATTTCAGGACCAACTAATCATCTACGGTTGAAGATCAAATAATTGTATGAGTAACTTTAAATCTAAAGCTCTCACAACCCTGTGAGGTAGATAATACCAACCATATTTTACATATATGGAAAATGAAGCTGAAATGGTCAGAAGCATTCAAAGGTCTCACAACTAAATGTTATCAGTAATTTGAACCCAAGTCTCTATGGCAGGTGCTTTTCCTTAAACATTTTTCCTTTCCCATGGCCACTGGAAATACAAATTGATAATTTAGCGTGTGGACTCCAAAAACAGGCAGAGAGAATGAGAGGAGTTTTTTATGCATGTCCTTTAGGCAGAGGTGTAGGAAAGGAATTCTTGTCAACAAATGGCTTCTTAATTCTGTTTAGTTAGCCTTGGGTTCAAGCAGGTAATGGTCTAATGTGGGATTAAGAAGTTGCAAGACCTGTTTAAAAAAATAGTAATTCTGACTGAATGTGCAATTAGGCCACAACCATGGAAAATCTCCATGTACTCGGAGCTAAAAAGTAACTGTCAGGTTTGACAGGAACCTGAGAATTAAGCTTCCTGAAGAGGAGAAAGGAAGCTGAAATCAGGATTCAAAGAGCAAATGAAATAGTCAAGAACTGCCAATGAAGCAAATGCCAGACTTTTAAAGAGATTAGAAAAAATTACTCACAAAAATGATAAGTATGTGAGTCAATGTATGTTAGTTAGCTCAATTTAGCCATTCCACAATATATACATGTTTCAAAACAACATGTTGTATAGGATAAATATATATAATTTTTATTTGTGAAGTAAAAAGAAATTCCCTGACTATATTCCCCAAACCTGGAAATTATTACATTTCCCAACTAACAAACCTGACAGTAAAACATTAGTTTTTCCAGCCTTGGTTATGTAATATGTGGAATGTGTTTGTTTTTGAAAGTACAATTTTTAAAACAATCAGTTATCTGAGGGCAGCCCTTTCGTCAAGCCAAAATTTTGCTTGAAGGACATCCAGCATAGAGAGTTCCTGGGTTCTAGGCTTGAGCAGGAGAAAGCTTCCTGTCTCCAGTGGTCTCAGCAAAGGCTTATCTGTCATTGAAGACACTGTGGGGTGGCAATGGTTTTCCAGTGTTTCTTTGAACATCTCTCATCAGGAGTCTACACTCTCCTTTTCATCTCTGGATCAGTGCCTCCTCTGTATTATCCTAGGTTCCTGCCAGCTCATTCCTATCAGGAGCAGGTAATCTCCCTTACTCAGAGCTTCCACATCCTTAACCTTAGAGAGAGCACCAGCCTATACCACAGCTCTGTAGACTTTGCTTGTGTTCAGTTTAATACTTAGCTATATATTTCAAATTCACAGAATCAATTAGATACATCTTTAACCACTACACTGTTTTGTGCAGAAAAATTAACTGAAGCCTTAGATTCCTTGTCTGTAAAATGGGAATAAAATGAGATATTCAAGGTATTTGTTGTGAGGCTTAAATGAAGTAAAAATCTATCCAGTACATAATGTACCACCTGGCTCCTAACTAGCATGCTGTTATTAACATGATTACTGTTACATATAACAATCTTGACTTCCCAATAAGATAATTAGTAAGTTGAAGAAAGAGACGATTGTCATATATTTCTCCTATGTTTCCAAGAGTGTCCACCAAGCAAAGGGCTAGTGAGAGGTCACATGATCAACACAGATGTGTTTAATGGAAGTACACAGTGTTTGGTAAAGGGCACAGACAAGAACAGCTCAATACATACAAAACCACACAACTAACACTAACATTTGAAATGGAAACAAGATGGTAATTTTTTTCAGTCTGCATAAAAACTGTTTTACGAGTCTATAAATATTATAAATAAGAGAATTCAATTTTTATGATTTGAGGATTCACAGCAGAAATAAGGGTTATTTATTATTCCATTTCCCATTTAAAGAAAGTGAAAAACAGAGCAAGTGTTTAACTATGAGTGTCTTTAATTCTGAAATGGAGGGCCAGATGTGGTAAGGGAGAATCACTCAAAGTCTATAGCCCAGATATTAGAATACCAGACTATTAGGACTAAAAAGGATCATTAAGTGGATTCCAACATTCCACTGATGAGGAAACTGAGGCTCCCAGAAGTCTCACTATGTTGTTGGTGACACTGTCCCAACCCAGACCTCTACAGCCTGCTCCTCTTCCTAATGCACTGAGAGCAGCCAGGTCTTTCATGTGATTTTCCTGCCCAGGTTCCTGACTTTGCAGTTTCTTTGCTTATTTTCCTAATGATTGTGAAGGTCCCCTTAGGGAATGAGGTGTGGATGGTGTATGGTGGGCAGACTTCTGCAGAGCAATGTGTGATTTGCTTTTAAGCGAGTAATTCCAAGACAGGAGGGACACACAGGGGCTTCTGACATCAATAAAAGTCACTGGTCATAATGGAAAAGATCAGACCATGGCTTGCACTTAAAAAAAAAAAATTAGTGGTGGTGTCCATTAGTAATGAGGCAGCATTTGCCAAAACATTGATAGATGAGGTCTTTACAACTGCCTCTTTGTCTCTGTCACCAGTGGAAAACCCTATCCCAGTCTCTAAAATTGCCCTTCCCTGCAATGGTCCCTTCTTTTGGAGGGGTTTCTCAGATGCCAACCAATAATGCAGCTAAGTGTGCACCATGGGCACAGGACTTTGGAGTTGCAGGTTCTTAGAGCTGAACGGGGTCTTAGTGATCATTTTCCTGCTGATAGAGGTTGGGGTCACCCAAGCGGACATATTTTGCAGAGTCCACAGTTTTGCCCTATGTTGGCCACATTTACTGGACAGTGGGGTCTCGAGCTGTGTGCATCAGCTCAGGTCTGCTGTCAGCCAGGTTCATCTTCCTTCCACTCCTTCTGAGAAAGTGTGTCGTGCCCAGATCACCTTGGCCTGGGTCCCTCTCCCTGTTTTTTCCCTAGCTCTCCAAAGCCTGGAGCACTGGCTGTGTGGTTGTGGTAAAAATCAATTCCAAGTCCTTTTATCTCCACATTAAGCCTCCATAGCCAGCTGTTTTTATATGGAAGTCCCCACAGGCTGGGTCCGGTCTAGTGACCATTTGCAAGAAAACAAAGAAAGAGACAAAAAGGCTGATGATGGCAGTTTTTAGAGGTGGGTACAGCAATTCCAACGGAGGGGGGGGAATTTAAAGATGGCACTTCCACGCAGCCATAAAAGGAGATGGAGGAGTCCTTCCTCTCCTCGAACAATAAAAGGCTCCTGCTAATTTTTACCAGAGTCTGCTCTGAAAACCTGCAGTTGACTGTGAGTCACTGGCCCCTCTGGGGAATAGGAGGTAGGGAGGTGGGGGTGGGGCGAGAACTCTGTGTGTGTGTGTGTGTGTGTGTGTGTGTGTGCACGCACACCAGTGTGTATAATCTCACAGTGCCCAGAGCCCTGGAGATCCTGGAACACTTCAGTAGCACAGGCCAGATTCATTAAAAACCCTGGCTACAGGCCAGCAGTTAAAATTGAAGCAGCATATTTATTGCATTTTGTTCAAATAAATCTGAAAACGTGTGAATCATATTCCTTGGAGAGATTGGGAGAAGAAGTAAACAACATCAGGCTAATACTTACAAGCCGTGGCGGAGAGAGAACAAAGATACAGAAGGTTCCGCCACAACAGGAACTCTGCAGGATGCTCGCCCTTCATGGGTGCGGGCTGGAGGGGTCCACACTCTCCCCCACCACTTTCTCTATGGGTTGGGTCCTGACCTTGGTGTTATGTTAGGGCACAGGCTCTGCTCTCTTCCCTGGGTTTTGCAGATGCACCCTGGCTTATCCCGCCCTGCTGTCTTCTAGACGCTGTGGCTGTCATCCTGCTTTCTAATGGCAGCTGCAGAAATTACATTCAATTATGAGTTTTCCTAAAAATAGTGTGTAAGGGAAAACCTCCCCACCCTCACCAGCCCAGTTCATATGAAATTTGGCAACAGCTCAAACTAATTGTTTGCCTCTATCAAGCAAAATTAAGTCGCTGGTCAGTTCTATCATGCATGGGCTGTATTTTCTTTTGTTGTTTGGTATCTTTCAGTGATGCTAGGATGGATTGTCTGTTTAGGAAGGAACCTCCTTGAGGGTGGAGGCTGTGGATAGGACTTTTGGCCTCAGTTTTCTTAAGTGTAAAATGGTGGTAATTCTTCTCTTATGGTAATTATGAGGACTGAATACATGTGATATCTTGTAAGAGCATGTAACCCAAGAACAAAATATCCCCATGACTAAATGTCAAATCTCTTATCTTTCTCCCTGCAAAAGAAATGATTTATGGGCATAAGTATGTAATACTTATGATCTATTTTTCTCTGTTCACCTCAAGATTGATTCTATAGGACAATTTTGCCACTGACCCCCTCCCTCATCGCCTTTTACTACATATGTGCTTGTTGGTGTGAAACATTGATAAAGGTAGATGAACAAGTATAAAGTGTAATCTAATATTCTTCTCTTACTTCTCACAAACACAACTGTTTATACATCTTCAAAAACCCTCTGACCTTCTGCCAGTTTTATCAGGTTTGGGGCATGAGTGGGTATTTGGAGGCATGCTGAGGTTTCCCCAAGAAAAGCAGGTGCATGTCTTTTATATTTTAAGGCTTTACGAAAGGTAAGTGTGCTTCTAAGTACCTTATACCTATTCACTGAGGTTAGGTTCTTACGTGAAGATTTCATGGTGATAGAGGTAAAGGTAGGTCAAGACCTGTGGAGCAGTTGCCAATCCACAGATCTGGCAGAGGGGGCAGGTTTCTGAATTGGAGCGAAAATAGGAGATGGCCTGATGCACCTGATGGAACAACCCATCTTGCCCCCAAAAGTGGAGAGTGGAAATACAACTTTTGAGAAGTTATTTTTATTCTAGTATCTTGATACCTGCTCTGTTTCAGTGTTGAGTCTCCCCCTTTTCTGCACTGGCCAGATTGGGGTAACTCCTTTCTACTTACTGTGCCTTGGACCCTGACAAAACTATGACAAGTTGATCTAGCCCCCAAGAGCATCCTCTCCAAGCCCTGGCATGCTCAGCACTGATGAGGAAACCCCTGATGTCAAGGCAGAGAGTCTAGAGCAGGCACCCCACTGGCTGTTTGAAGCATGCATTCCAGTTCCTAAAACTCTCTATCTCACAGCTACGCTGGTAATAGCAATAACCGATACTTCAATTGCAGGTACACCACGCAAAGATACTCTCCAAGACCTTTTCATGTATTAACTCATTTATATTTACAACAAGCTTATTTGTTTCAGCATTATATTCATTCTCATTTTATGGGGGAGAAAACTGAGGCACAGAAAAGGTAAGTGATTCACCCTTTATTACTGCAACTAGTGGGTAGTAGGGTCAGATTGTGAATGCATGCAAGTTGGCTACAAAGTCTTAACTACTAAACAATGTCATACGGTCCTCATTTCTTGACCCTGTCAAGAATTAGACATTGAGTTCTCTCAATGGTTTTGCTTCCTGAACGTGTGTGGGGGGATATTCAGCAAGCTGTCCCTAGATCAGGTGATAACAGGAAGCCAAACCACTTCACCAGTTAAACAAGAGCATATTTGTTCATTTATTCCAATCTACATGAACCTGTCCCTGGCTGTATGGGCTTAAATGTGCTGCCCTAATCCGACAGCAGGAGGATGTAATCTGAATTATTTCTCCCCAGTTGGGAAATGTGCCCTGAGTCACCAGCACAGATTCCTCCTCCTTGGCTTCTTTCCTGCAGGGTGACAGGTCAGAGCTAGGGGAAGTCTGTGGCCCATGAAGTAAACCAGACTTAACTAGATGGCGTGGGCTGAAACTGACTTCTCTGATCTCCACCTCCTTGCTATGGACAAGCTTTCCCTATGAAGCTCAGCTGTTTCTTAATGGATGGGCACAGGCTGTTTTACTACCTCCCTCAGCCTACATTCTGGCTGCTGATTGTACAGCAGACACTGGCTTTCCACAGCCCTCCCACCTTGGAGAATTTGAGTCTCAATGCTCAATGATTCATTTTGCTGTTCTGTCTCGGAATTCAGAAAAAAAAATTCTGTCAAACATCCTTTGCTTGTTGAATGCAAGAGTGAATGGATTATTGAATTAAGGCAGAACCTGAGAAGAAACCAAGTTGTTTAAACACATCTGTGTATTCCCAAGTGTCTTGGACACCACATGCCTTTTCTTAAAAGTAAATTTAAAAACACAGCAGAGAGAAACATGGTGAGTGGGTTTTGTCTGTCCATCACAACCATCAGAGCTTCAGACTTCACGGCAGGATTGGGGATGCCTGGGAACTGACAGTGGGCAAGGGCACTCAGTGGCTGCTGCACAGAAACAGTCAGATATAGTTCCGTAAGAGATCTGTGTCTAAGTGGACTCCAGCTCTAGAAACAGGCCAGTGTTCGAGACCAAAATTTCCACTGGGCTGAGGCAACTGGATTTTCCTAGCACCCCTCATGATGTGTTATCAAAAGTAGAGCAGGGAGGTAGGGTGGGGCCCGAGGAAGCAAACTCTGGGCCTCCCCATGTTATCTCAGCCTCCAAGGATGGCAGGAGCCTGCAGACCCTGGGGCTGGCACAGAACCAGCATCCCACTCTCTACTGTGCAGGTACCACAGGACTCAACTCGGAGTGCGTGTGGTTGTGAGCTTGACAAAGCCATCGCCTTGCCTCACCTTTCCCAAATACTGACTCTACTGTCGCTTTCCAGGACTGCAGTGCCAGGTGTATTATTCATGTTTTTTTTAACGTATGAATAAATCTAGGAGTCACAAAGTATAGCTTTGTTACATGGCTATACTGTATAATGCTGAAGTCTGGGCTTTTAGTGGTAATTTTTCATCTCTGATCCCTCTCTCACTTGCCTACCCTTTCAAGTTCTCCATGTCTATCAGTCCACAGTCTATGTCCATGTGTATATATTATTTAGCTCTTGCTTATCAGTGAAAACATGTAGTATTTGACTTTCTGATTCTGGGTTATTTCACTTAAGATAATAGCTGGTAGTTCCATCCATTTTATTGCAAAAGATGTGATTTTATTTTTTTATGGCTGAATAGTATTCCATTGTATGCGTGCATCTATACCACATTTTCTTTTATTTTCTGTCTTTTATGATACTTTGACAAATCTTGCTGACTCTGGAGAGATGTCTCTTCCCAGGGCTAGCGAATTCCTAGAGCTGCCAAAGGACTCCCCTGAGAATGCATCTTTCACATGCAAACGAATCAATCCGGAGCCCACATCTACCAACCACTTCCTTTATGAGGCTCTCACAGGATGAGTCACAATTCCCCACACCAGCATCACTCCAGGGCAAGGTACCAGACAACTAGGGGGAATCTCTATACTCTGGAGGTGCCCGAAATTATTCCAACCAGCCAACTCTAAATCTGCCTACCCAACCTCCCTAATTCCATCGCATGATAACCACAACAAAGGTTTTAGCCTACACTTTCCCTTCATCCCTTTGCCTCTTGATTGACCCTGATTCTTCCCCGAGTGGCCATACCTGGTGTGCCACACCTCCTGTTCCCAGATCTGTGAGTATAAAAGCCCCCTCCTTCATGACAGTCATTCTATATCTGCATCTCTTACCATATACGATTGAAACAAATACTGAGTGCATTGTATCATACCAAGATTCTGTCTCTCTCCAACTCCTCTGGCTCAAGCCTGGAGAATTATGAAGAAGTCACTCTTCTACCACTTCTCAAGCCCTCAATATGAGGTAGGATCTTTATTTTACTACGATCTTTATTTATTAAAAATAAATCTCTCTAGAGTTTCTAACAACATCATCAACAACCACAGCAATAAGGGGTACCAGATACAAAGTCTTACTATGAGTTGGGCATTTTCTATGGATTATTTTCCTTAATTCAGATAATCTCCATCTGTCAGTATTCTGAGACTGATGGCCCAAGATCGCACAGCTGGACAGAGGTGGCATTCAGTCCCAGGTGGTCTGACTCCCGGGGCAACACAAAGAGCCAGTGCACATGCAGGGGCAGCCACACCTGGGGAGCAGGTTTTGATAGTCTTTAGAAGACTATCGAATAGTGCACAGACTTAGAATAGTGAAAAGCCTGGTTAGCAAACTGGCTGTTGGTCAGCAGACAATTACCTGGCCCCCATGAGAAAGAGAGGCTACACCCGTGTATAAATCAAGTATGATGCTAAGCAGGCTGTTTAGCGCAGCATTTATATTTTTTTCCCAGTGAGCCTCTGTGGGTGAAGGAAGCAGTGTGGCAATTTCCACGGAAACACGCTTTCCTTATATAGCTATCTTGGATTAGCACCTTGAATGCACCCCTGCTATAAGATGGCATAGGCTGCCCTACTCTCTCTGAAGACCTGGGGCTGCTGCTTTGAGAATTCTTGCACTGGAGAGATTTATCTAGACAATCTTGCTGGTTTATTTGTTTAATCATTGACCAGATCTTTATCAGGGGACCCACCTCAGGTCTGATAGGTGGTGCCTGTTATTGACATAACATACATGCCCGGAGTACAAGTTTCTGGTACCCTGCGAGTCTATGATTCTAACAACGTAGTCCTGTTCCAATCAAATCAGAATCATCATTTGTGATTTATGTTTTCACGTGTTTATATCTTATTTACCCTTAACAGATTGTAGACTCTTTAATCCTAGAACTGTGCTGCATATTTTCTTGGCATCACCACAGCATCCATATCAGCAAATTGTTTGATTTCACTTGATCACATGAATTATGTCTTCTTACTGAATATCATATGTAATCCTATCAACATCCAGTTATAAAATTATCATTTGCCTTTTAAAATTAGGACTTTGCTTTCCTTTAGACTCCAGAATAAGTCCACACCAGATATGACAGTCATGACCTTGAGAAATTACTTAACCCCCTTAAGCCTGAATTTCCTCATCTGTAAATATTAGTAGTGTCCAACTCTATAGGGTTGTTGTAAGGAATGAATAAAACATGAGTATTTATTTACAATGCATAGTATTAAGCACAATCTCTAGCTCATGGTAAATGCTCAGTATTTGCTAGTATCATTGTCCTTGTTTTCAGTTAGTTGTAAATTACGAGGAGAAATTCTAGAAACCATTTTTGTACTAACACCAATGAGAACCATCAAAGACACATGCTGTCTCAGCTTTAGGTTTTGAAAAAACGTCTGGGATGCCTTTATATATGCTTAGTTATTTATTTAAGGAAGGTAAACACATTTTAACACCTGCTTAAGCCAAAAAATGTCATGACACTTACCGCTGTCACGTTCTTAAGAAGTTATAGAAAAAAGCTATAGGAAGCATTTGCGTGTGTGGGTGCACATATGTAATTTACTTAACTAATTGGGGATTATCAGCTTTTATGAATTTCCTAAGTCCATGTCTCCCCCTAAATTGAGAAGAATTAAAAGCTAACCATCTACTAGAGTGTGAGTTTACCAATATGACGGAGGCAAAGGCATCAGATGATGTTTATTCAGTGTGCTTTTGGGTTCAGGAGTTAAGCCACCCTTGATGTCTCACTTATCCTGAATCTCAGACAGCCATAGCAGTTCATGTCAAAACACGCTTCGTGGGGTAGGCTAGAAGCAGGTGGAGATGCGGCCCGCAGTGCAAGAGAGTGCGTGGAGTAAAGGGGCATGGTGCACAGGCGGAGATGCTTTTATAATTCAGGGTTTTTCCTTTCTTTTTCCTCCAGTCGTGCTCAGTAACAGAACCTCCCAGGCAAGGAACTGTGGTTAACAGGCATTGATCTGTGTACCAAAGGCAAGACCACAACCGATCAGAGGAAAGGACATGTGATTAAACAGTTCACTGCCAACTGGAAACAAAAACACAGGGCTAGCAGGAGGCATGAGCAGCATGGTAGATTGGAAAGAATAAGGCACTGAGACTCAAAAGATCTGATCTGGGGTCCTAGCTCCAGAACAGGCATGGTTTGCAACAAGGCAGGTCACTCTCTGAGCCTCAGTTTACACATCAAACGGAACAGGTTAGCAATTCCTAATCTCTCTCTCTGTCTCTCTCTCTTGCTCTCCCTCTCTCTGATTATTTCGTAGAGAGGATCAAATTAAGATCCTAGATGTGAACCTTTCTGCAAAACATACAAATGCAGACTTGAGTTACCATGTGGCCGGAAGCAATGCCCTCCTCGTGTCATAAACATGTTAGCCAAGGGCCTGAGCAAACCCATGAATGATAATGAATCAGACTGAATGATGACAACCAAAGTGAAAAAAAAAATCTCTCAAACAAAAAACAACAAGCATGTTACAATCTTCCATACGCTCTAAAAGCCACTGCTACTGCTGAACCACCCGCTGAGGTTATATAATGCCCCATAAAAACCAGCGCAGTCATTATCTTCCCACCACAGGGAAACACAGCTCCACTCCATGCTTCGGGCCACAGGCATCCGAGATGGAGGCCATTTCTCCAAGGCTGAGCTGCTAACCTGGCGTACACTGGGTTGCCACGGGGAACCTGGCAGCCAGCACCTGCTGCTGCAGCTGCAGCCTGAGCTTCCCTGTTGGCAAACACCAAAAAGCATTTTGTGAGGTTGGCTGCAGGGCCCAGTGCTGAGAGTGAAGTTCCTTCCGGTGCCCTGTAGGTACGGTTGGCAGCTGGGAGGGAACACACTTCTTCCTGCATTCTCCCATGTGAGAACACGACTTCTGAGGAGCCCTCATTAAAAGGCATGTTGCCACCACAGTGCACGGCGGCAACTGCCTCCCCAGTCTCCTGTGTTCTCATCTGTGGAAGCCAGCTCCAGGTAAGGCACCACGTCCTGCTCCACAGCCGAGGGGACACTAGCTGTTCTGCCTCTTCATCTTCGCTCCTCTGCTGCTAGAGCTGTCCTAAACACTCATCAGCTCCAAACCCAACCTAGACAGCGGAGAGAGTGCAGGGCTGGGTTTCCTCCTTCCCACCTGGCTGGCTCAGTGCTGACCACTAAGCCCATACCAGGACTTGGGGTCTGCTCTTATTAGCTCATAGGGCAGTTAGAGCCTTGCCTTTATCTAGAAGAATGAGAACCATGGAGTTCTGGGATTTATTTTTGCTCTGTGTTTCATATCATGATTGTTTCCATTTCTCTGAAGAGGATATTGAGGCTTAGATATCTGAACTATTTTGCCCGAGGTCAGACCTAGTAAACAGTTGGAACTCAAAGTAGAAATCTGGTCTGTTAAATTGCAAAGTTCTTTTTCTTTCCACTTCTGCAAGCTGCTTTTTCTTTTGAGAGAGCAACACCGATGGAATCTTCAGCATCATTACTTCCCCAAGAGCATAAACTGGGCTCCATTCTTGGAAATTCGCCTAGGTTGCATTTATAATAAATGTAATAAATACACCTGATACATGCATGGGAGAAGAGACACAAATCTCAGGGCAAAATTTCCGTCCAATTCATGGCGAACATACATGGTCTCTGATGAAGACTACACATCATTTTAAAAGTCGGTTTCTGGCCAGACCCCTCAGGATCCCTGTGAGTTATCACTGAGACTTTATACTTATTTAATATATACTCCACACCCATGAGATTGATGAAGAAAACCTTTTCCCATAGGGACAGGATAGAGTTTGGTTTCAGACCACAAGAAAAGGGGGGCAAATCAAATAAAGATGTCTAGAGAGGTGTCTTGAGCTCTTTCTGAATCTTTGTCGCATCAGCACAAACTGGAGGGCTGACGATTTCTCAGGAAGTCCTGGAAGGCTTCAGGGACTCACAGAGACAATGTGAAGCCAGCTTTGGTAGCGCAGGAGCTCTCAAGAAGCCCTTGCCAAGCCTCAGAAGGGTCTAGAGGCAGTGCTGCATCATTCCTTCAGGAGGCTCGGGGCAAATACCTGCCTTTCATATGACTTCTGGGCTCTGGATGGACAGATCCTCTTTGACCTGAGGTGGGCCAGCCCTGATTCAACGGGATGCATTCTACATCCTCAGAATAGCTTCAAAGGTTACTCCATCATGTTAGATTCAAGAAATAGTTTGGCTTTAACAAAGAGACAAAATATGGCCAGCTGATGTAATTTTGAAAAGGAAATTACTTTCTGTTTTTAAGGATCAACATTGCCAGGTTAAATGTGTGAGTTAATCTCAATAATGGTAGGAAAACCGGGAAATGGAAAAAATTCACAGTAATAAGGTGGGAAAGATTGAATGTGAAAGATGAGGAGACCGCATCCTGGTGCAGAGGATTTATGTGGGTACATCATGGAATGTGGTAAGCAAGGAACACAGAGCATGGTCTGGGGGCCTCACATGGTTTACCTAGCAGGCTCTTGGGAGCCTATGTAAATTTTCAAACCAGAGAATAATAATCAAAGTGAGGCTTTAAGCATTACTGGAGATCTTTTGTTCCATTTCATCAACAAACCCTCAAGATGTGCATTGTTTTCTGGCAAGTTCATTTAGAAGAAGATACAACAAGACAGATGAAGAAACATTCATCTAATACAGTGTGTCAGTGCACAGGCGAAATGAAAGAGATAAAAGTAAGAGCTGCATAAAACAAATACGATCCATTGACTAGGAGTGGCTGGAAGTGGAAACTGATTCAGGAGGAGATGCGGGCCAGGCAAGTCGTTGGCTCAGGAGTGAGATGACTGAGGGTGGAATGTTAACTTTTCCACTAGCAGCATGGTTGAGTCAGTTTTCCCAACTTCACAGTTTATAGTGAGGGAGTTTGTAACTGGGAAAAGTGGCGTGTATTTTGACAGAAGTTCTTAAATGATAATCTCTTGCAAACCAGCCCTCTGTAACTCCATGAGAGATGAGTCCCTGAGCTGGACAGACCACATGTTTGTGGTTCCACATGGTACTTCTGATCAATCAAGAAACTTGCTACTCGCTGTAGAGTTCACTTGGTGCAATAGAGGATGCATGAATATAAGGCAATTCCTATTCTTGAGACCTTAAGGTTAGTTGCTATTGTGGGTTGAATTGTGTCCCCCAAAGAAAGATATGTGGCCTTCTAACCCCATTACCTCAGAAGGTGACCTTATGTGGAGAGAGTCTTTATAATCAAAGTAAAATGAGGTAAATGACTGAAGAGAAAATTTCAACACAGACCTGGACACAGGGTAAATGCCATAAGAAACGAAGGCTGAGTTAGGTGCAATGCACACATAAGCCAAAGAATGCCAGAGGTTGCCAGCAAACCACCAAATGCAAGGAGAGAAGCATGGAACAGCCTCTCTCAATCTCCTACAAAGGAACCAACTCTGCAGACACTTTGATCTTGGACTTCCAGCCTCCAGATCTGTAAGACAATACATTTCAGGTGCTTAAGCCCCCGGCTTGTGGCAGTTGGTTGTGACAGCCCTAGCAAGCTGATATGATGCAAAGACTCCAAGCAAACCTACAAGGAACAATTAAAGAACAAGTCAGTAGGAACAGATATGTATGAAGTAGGGGTGCTGAGTAAAGGGGGAAATAAGCTGCCTAGGAAAGATTTTAAGATGTCACGGAGGCAGGAAGGCTTGAGTCAGGCCAGGAATCCCTTTGAAAGCTTATTCCCCGATTTGGCAAATCCGCAAGTGGTTTTGTATTCTGTTTCTTCTGAACACTGCTATGGAGTCTACAGCTCTTTCTCTGGGTGATATTTCACAACTCCTTTTTTATATAAAGTCCTCAGTCCAGTCTAGTGCATACCTTCTGAGTGCACTTAGAAATTCTTTCCCAATTTAAAAAATCTGTCGACCCCATGGTCTTATGACCCTATTACAGGCCATCATCCTACACCAAATCCACTTTCTGGCTGATGGGCTGAATATTCTTCTTTTCAGTTTTCCCACCACAAAAAAACGACGACAGTATCTCCTTTCACTTACCTTGTGGTGAGTCTAAGAATGGTTTGAAAAGCACCTTAATTAGGGGACTTTTAAGCATTAACCATCAAGACTCTTGTTTTAGTAAATGCCCAGGGAACACAATGGGACTATGTAGTATATGGAGACTGTATTTTCTTCCCATGCATTTTTTTCTTGTGTAGTGAAGACGGTTGGCCTGTCTCTTGTCATATTAGTTTCACTCCTTCACTGAGATGCTATGCCAAAGCCCTTATAGGACTTTGCAGATCACTTGCCTTCTTCTATTTACTTTTAAAATAACAATCACATTCCATGAAATTCCTTTGTCCCACACCAGCTATGTTTCTGGTATGTTCCCTGACCATGATGATGGAGATGCTTATCAGGATCACTCCCAATGTCAATGAATGATGTTTTAAGAAATGACATTGGGAGTGAAGTGAAGAAAGCAAACCATTATCTAATCTTGGCAGAAAAGTCAGGGATTGAGCTTTACAGTTCAGAGACTCTGCAGGGTCCAGCACCAGAGGGAAATACGCTCTCATCCTTGAGTGAAGGCTGTGATTTCACTGCCTGGGTCTGTAAAGAGATATGTTATGAGCCAGAAACAATGAGTCTGGGGCCGCCACTCTCTGCCTACAAGATGGAGGAGTGGTGGAAAGGCTGTGAGGTGGGTACCAGGTTAGACCTCAGGACACCTGGTCCTAACCCTGTTTCTTTGTCATTTACCCTAAGAGTTACCCACATTCTTATGATTCCTGTTTCCTCACAGGTAGGATAAACAGAAGAAACTCTTATACTCTGATATTTTTTGATTCTGAAGCAGGCAGCTGGTTACATAATAGAAAGTGAAGTTTACATAAATTTGGACAGCAGAGATACTGTTTCTTTTACACATTGCGTGTGAAAGGATGCACCACATCCAAGGTACAACGAGGCCAATCCTCACACCAGAGATTGGTGTAGAAAAGATGAACTTGGGATGCCAAGGGCAACATCTACCTGGATTATTCCTGTTTTTATGACATGAATCGAAAAAAAAAAATAAATAAATAATTGGTCCCCATACTAAGTCTTGCTCAAACAAGGCACGAATGCATACATTTTTCCAGGGCTATGTTCACGCCTATGCCATATGCTGTCTTGGTGTTCATCAGGTGAAATACATTCTGGTGCAGGATTTCTCCACTTCAGCATTCCTGACATTTACATGAGATAATTCTCTGTTACAGGGTGGGGTAAAGGCTGTTCCATGCCTTGTAGGGTATTTAGCAGCATCCCTGGCTTCTACTCACTAGATGCCAGCAGAAATCCCCACTTAGCTGTAGTAAATGTATCTCCAGACAGTGCCAAAAGTCTCCTGGGGGGCTAAATAAACCCAGGCGAGAATTGCTGGAGTAGTGGGATGCTGTCTTACGAAAGGACTATCCACACCCAAATCATAAAGCACAGTGTTAAGAAAGGTTACCCCTTCTGGAATTTGAAAGAATGTCACCACATTTAGATTACGAAGGTCAACAGACATTTGGGTGCCAATGCAACGAGACCTTGTAAAGATTTAGGAAATGTGACTTTCAGATTACTGCTGTTTTCTTTTTTTCATGACATTACTATTCTTCCAGCATCTAATGTGGAAAGAGATGTGGTGTTTTTTGTTGGATTAATATGAGGATGGTTTGGCTGTGGAGACATGGGCAGGCTACTCGCTTGCTCACATATTTACAGTCAGAAGCATCTCCTGCGAGGCTGTGCCTAGAGTAGACATTGCCCGTGCAGCTGGTTCATGATGGCATTGGGCTGCATGGACTGCTGTCTAATCACGCTCCTTGAATAGGACAAAGGCCCACTGAGTAGGGTTGAACTCACATACATACCTGACTCGTAATGGAACGGAGTAATTACGGAAAGCAAACTACTCAGTGCAATGATACTGCCATTGTTCTAATGTCACTTGTAATCTGAAGCCACTAGAATCAGAATGTAAGCCAATCAACAAAGCCCAGGATCCTATATAATCATGGATCAGGAACTAAAAAAATACAGATTCACTAGTATTGTGCACAGGTGGTTTTTGAAAGCTTACATATCTTTGTTTTCTCAGAGGGTGAAGATTTTCTCTGATGAATAATATTTAAAAGGAAACATACCAAAATGTCTGGAGACAACTCCAGAAATATTACAAAGTACTTTGATCAATGACAGCTTTGTGGAATGTGATGTATCCTTTTGAGAAAAAGACCTATTCATTGCGTTTGGTACATATCAGTGAATTTCTTAAATGGACTAATCTAATTCCTAAATACTAATTTCTCACATATACCAAGGTGCTCAGCTCCCACCTCCACCCCAACAACCCAAGTTCTTAACTACCAACCCTCAAAGAGGCAGTGAGTTAAGTGGACCTACTCTTTCAATTTTTAGCCAAGTCTACACTGTCCCTTCTCCGATGACATTTTCAACTGAGCCCTTAAAACTAGCCTGAAAGGGTAAAACAAATGAACACCTTTCTACAAAAGGGGAAGAATCTCAATAATATAGCTCCAAATGAGAGAGCTGCTGGAGTTTGAGCACCTTGGAGAAGGAAATGCAACACGCCACCCAAACTGGAAGCTACAGGCGTGAGGGCACAACCACCCACCAAAGGCAGTAACAAGCAGTGCCTAGAATTTGGCATTGTTCATGGGAATATTTATACACTTAAAAATATAATTATAAAAGACAGAAGGTATGGAGAAAGAGATGAAGGAAAAGAGAAGAATGAAAGGATTGTTCTATTCCTGGCCACCATTAACACCATCAAATTAAAATAAATCCCAGATGAATAGGACGAACAGTATTGAGGCAAACACTGAATTCCAGGGGGGACCAGGCCTGTGTTGTAAAAACAGGACCATGTGCTTTGGGAGGAATGCTGTGTGCTCAGCCTTGTTTATAACATGGCAAAGGATTCAAGAATGGAATCTGTTCCTCTTGACCAAAAAAAAAAAAAAAACCTCACCCTCCACTGCCTTCCACTCTTTGTTTTTTTCAGATCCCAGATCTGAAAGCTGGGATTCTAGGGTGAGTTTTTGAAATGCTTTGTTTTGGCCTGTTTTCATCCAAGTAGCTGGAAGGTGGAGAGGAATGGGTGGCAGGGCAGGGAGCCAGGGAACTGAACCGTGAGGGAGAAAGCTTTGTTTTTTCAAAAAGAGATCAACGTACGGAAGTGAAGCATTTCTGAAGGAGCTTTCCAGACTTTTCGGATCTGTGGTATTTTTAGGCAGGTTATTATTATGATTATTATTTTGGATAATGTATGAGATCTGGAGCTTCAAAGAGGAAAAGCTCCCTCTCACTTTAGTGAAACAAAATCTCACCCTGACCTTATTCTGTCTTAGGTAAATTTCCTGAGGATCCTTTAGTCTCAGGATGGGTTAACTGAGTATGAAGGTAGTGCACTGAAAAAAGCATGCATTTAGGGGTCTAAGGTCTTTTCTACCTCTTCCTGGTTGCAGCATCTCGGTATGTTACCTGTTCTTGTGAAGCCAAAAGGAGAATAGTAATATCTTCATTGCAGGAGTTTCTCAAGGCTCAAATTAGAATACATCTATAAAGTAACCAGCAGCAGGCCCAGCACACAGGGTACAAGAGAAATGGTAGGCTCCTTCCTGCTGCTCCTCCTCAAAGACAAGCCTCTTCTACAGTATCCCTAATATTGGAATATACATTCTGCTTGAACACAGGCAGAGATGAACAGCTCCCCACCTCCTCGGGGAGCCTACTCTGTATAGGTAGTTCTCCTTGTTGTGAAGAAGAGCTACTGGGAGCAAGTATTGGCCTTCCTCTACTTTCTACTGACAGAACACTGTCATTTAACTGCAACAACACAAACAACTAACATTTATTGTACATTTACTTTGCATACTGGCCTAAGAGCTTTTCACACATTATAGAATTTAATACTTAAAACTCTCAATAAAGTAGGAGTTAATATTGTCCTCGTTTTACATATGGGGAAACTGAGGCTTTGAGTGGTGACACAGCTTATCAAAAATGTCTTACTCAACAAGTGGAAGAGCTGAGACTTGAACCCAAGTCACTATCAGTCCCAATTCATGCTGCAATCCCAGAGTATACTGCTGTCCTTGGTAGGGCAAGCATTTAGTGTAGTGTTGGATTCAGAGGGGTATTCAGCATATGGAGAATGAATGAACGAATAAACAAATGAATGAATGAATGAATGACCATATCACACATATTAAAGGAAGCATTCTATTTGCAAAGTAGCCAGGACCTGGGCCATGTCAACCTCTATTTTGCTGGGGTCCCACTTTCCATACACTCTGGCCTCATCTTTATTGCTTAGGCTGTCTTTGTAACTTAGTACTGCTTTTTATTTTTTTGAGACAGAGTCTCACACTGTCACCCGGGAAGGAGTGCAATGGCGCAATCTCGGCTCACTGCAACCTCCACCTCCTGGGTTCACACGATTCTCTTGCCTCAGCCTGCTGAGTGGCTGGAATTAAAGGCACACACCACCATGCCGGGCTAATTTTTTGTATTTTTAGTAGAGATGGGGTTTCACTATGTTGGCTAGACAGACTGGTCTTGAACTCCAGACCTTGTGATCTGCCTGCCTTGGCCTCTCAAAGTGCTGGAATTACAGGCGTGAGCCACCGCACCTGGCCAGTACTGCTTTTAAGGAGACAAAAATGTAAAGCATGCACTCTGTCTAGTGTAGAGCTTCCTGGGGTGGGGGGAGAGAGAGGGAGAGAGAGAGATAGAGAGAGAGAATGTGTGTGTGTGTGTGTGTGTGTGTGTGTGTGTGTGTGTGTGTGTGTGTTGTATGCATTCCCATTGATGTGCAGTTCTAGTCACACAGATTTTTAGCAGCATGTTATTTACTGTTTAAGGTTTTCATCATATTCCCTTACAACTTCTCTGCTTTTTCTTTCCTTTTTTCCAATGAAAAATTATAAGATGAAAAGCTATGGAATTTTGGGAGGTTTCCTTATCAAGCCTAAAATATACATGTATATTTTTTATTTTAAGATTATATTTAGTACAATTTAGACAGACACATTTTCAACAGATTTGGTGGTAGTGATGCAGGAGTGGGGCTTTGCAGTGATCCACAGAGCTCTGTTTAACTGCAGTCTCCAACCTCCCCCTACACTTCCATGCCCTGTTTCCAGGCAGGAACATGCTCAGGAGGCCTCAGGGCAATACATGGGCTGCCCAGCATCCTGGCTGCTCACTGTGGTCCCTGCTCTGTCCCTGGGCCTATTTCTCACTCCTGAGCTCTTGCTTTTTCCCTGTGACTCTCAGCCTAATGACTTGATTCTACTAACATAAGTGTGTTTTTGTCTGTCGGAGTTCAAATGTCTGAGTACCTAATAACCAAGACCAACCTCCTCTTTCAACCTCTACTAGGAATGTGTGGCTTGGCTCAAAAGCCCACTTAGAAATTTTATCCTAAATCATATCCCTCCTACTCAAACATCACCTGATGTCCTTTACTGACATTCATGCCAACGAGGAAGTTAGAGTGCAGTGCCACTAAGACAGGCTGCTGAGCCAACAATTCAGTCATACAACGTCACATTGGACTACAGATAGGAGAATTTTGGAAAGAATAATCTCTGGTTAAAAAAAGACTAACATGATTTTTGTGTTTTGCTTATTCTTTCTTTTAATTAAACATCTTAACTTGGCTGTATTTCCACTATGATCAGTCACGAGCTCTCTCAGACTGTAAACTATTAGTGGCAGGGCATAACTATTACCATACTAGTTTCAGTGTCAATTATCCAGCATTACATGATGCAGAATTACATCCTTAAAAATAATTATGTGTGCTGTTGGGGGCTGTGCATACACAGGAGAACTGAATCAACTGGTATGAAATGGATTCACCAGTTTTAGCTGACTTTAGCAATGCAGGCAACCTAATAAAAACTATTTTTTGCTATGAGCATTAGTAAGTAGGATTGCCGTGAGTTATCTCTGAGGTGGTTCTGACTTTCTATCCTACTGTGCCTATGTAGACAGACACCAACCTCATGATCTATGCCGGTGGCGTGGATGTACACTGCATACATCCCAGAGTTTTTTCTTCAGGTATCACTCAGTAGACAATGTTAAGATCACAGGCTTTTCACTTTCCCACTCACTCACACCACATAATATATAAAATACTAAGAGCAAAACAGGAGAGATTAAGATGAGACTTATCTACTTTCAAAGGGTCATTCTCATACTGAGTTCTGGGTGCTCTTCAGTGCTGTCAACAGATCATAACTTCTGGAAACTTTTTGTTCACAGCCTGGTTCAGCCACTATAGGGCTGATGAGGAATGTGACACATGAGGACTTCTGATTCTAAATAACCAAGAACCTAAGGAGGCCAGGCTATTACCGCTAAGATTATCATCAGGTACCTTGGAGCCACACATACACAAGTATCATGGTAGAAATCAGAGCTTTAGGAGCAAAAGAAAAAAAAATTCTGCTTTACAAAAGAATGAAGTGTTAGTTGAGGCCACAAGGATATTCAGGATTGTTTTATATTTGTTACATAAAAACCAGAAGATTCTACATCCGAATAAATAAAGTTAACATGAATAGCTTAAGACATCAGTAGCTCTGATTCAGCTGGGTGTCTAGAAAGCTCTGGCCATGTCTTTTTTCTCATCAAGCCATCAAACCTGACATGTCAAAATGGTAGAGTAACAAGTGTTTTCTGTTAGGGCTATTTTAGAACTGCTTCTCATAAAACAGCAGTGAATAATATTGTTTATGGAGTTCTACTACTGTAGGTGGGTACACCATAAACCAACATCCCTGTGGATTTACTTCCCCATATCCAACCTTCCCCAGACTGCTCCACAGCACAGACGGGAGGGCAGAAGACCCATTGGTGGGTGAGCATATTTCTACTGCATCTTCCAATTGCGGCCTAGAGCGCTATCTACAGATCTCACTGTACATGAAAAAGGAACGGCAGTCGTTGAGATCAGCGCTGGAAGCTGTGAATACAGTCAATATGTCTACTGAACGGTACATATGTTTGACTAGAAACAGACACATGGGTTTATGTGTATACAATTTTATTCTGTGCAGGGCAAGTGAAATCTCTGGGGTCTTTAATGCTCACCACTCAACCTTGAAGAGGAAAGCTCTGTAACTCTCCCAAGGTTGGGAAGAGGTCTCCACAGAGTCAAGTATGGGGCAAGTGCCTGGTGTGAGGAGGGACTCCCCGGAAACGGGGCTACCACTCCACTCAGGTGTTTTCCATATGCAGCTGTGATTGCTAGAGACACTCCTGTCAATGGTTAGCTTGGCCTTTGATTCAACATTATTCTCTCTGCCCTGAACCATCATATTATAACAAGAACTTTCTCACCACAGTGCCCACCCACCACTGGCCTGGCTTATTAAAAGCCCCAAAGAACTATAACGGTCCCAGTCTCCCTTCTCTTTAACTAGAACGGGGGCTGCTAAACGGCCTCTTGCTGCCTTTTGCGTGTGGTGCTAATTAACATGATCCAAGTTACAATATGTGCTAAAGATTCCAGTTTTGTTACTTATTTAATGAGCTTCGTGGGATTTGAACATGAGGCTCAAAGTAGCAGGGGAAACCTCATAATTAGTTTCAATTACAAGAAGTTCCTACGCATTAAGACTATTTGATGAACTGCAAAGGGAAGGAACTACCGACCAGATACAAATCACTAATTTTGTTTCATTTATTATTATACTTATTTTCTTCCTAATTAGTGCTGATTGGCTTATGATCCTAATTAATGCAAAGGAATTTGGAATGGTATACAATGGTATGGCTTAGAAGATGCCAGCATGTACAACTGCTAAATTATTGCTAATTGTTATTTACATGAGGCCTGGAAGACTAAGTAATGCAATGCCTAATTAGCATTAAAGATATGGTATCCATTTCCAATTTACACTAAGGCAATGGAAATCAAATCGTTAGTCTAAAAACCTTGATCTTTGGATCTCAAGAATTGTGCCATTGTATAGTGACCCCTCCCCTAAGGGGAAACTGTTTTGTCTTCCGTTGCATCTTGCCAGGGCTTGGCTAGAACTTTGCAAAAAAGTAACACAGGAACACTCAGCATAACACTGGCAATGGGCTGCAGTATTTAAGGATTAGAGCTGGGAGCCACCTGGCAAATAGGCCAAGCATAAGGCCTGGGTTTCTTCCAACACTGGAAGGTGTGTGTGCTTGCTGGGGAGTACAGTCTGGAGATGGCAGGTTTCTGGGAAGGCCTAAGGCCATCCTGACATCATGGTGCTTATGAGCGATATCTATAGAAGACTAGGGATGCCTGTTTTGAAGGGCTGGAGGCTCAGCTAGTATCACAGGGGCAGATGCTGCCAGTCTGATGGAGGCTGTACCGATACAAAGAACAAAGAGATGGTCCTCGAACTGGGAGACCTACCCTTCAACTCTTAGTCCAAAACTTTCCCAAGACGTCCTGCTCATCCCTGATTACACCACCTCTGTTATGGCAAATGCTTCCCCTCATTCTAATCTGATCTTCTCTAGTCAATAAGAAGTCTCAAAGGAAACACTGGGATACTCGCTTCAGCCGAGGCCGGCCTGTGCTCCCTCTCACTGCTTTTTGCACAGGAGTGTCCATCACTTTGCCTTTTACCTACCCATTTTCTTCCACCAGCACCATATTTTTTCCTGTTGTCTTCTCCCTTGTCTCTGCCTTAACCCAATGCTCTGTGGGCTGGAAGAGTATTGGAGTAGCAGCCAGAAGACTGGCCTGACTTGATGTTACAAGACTAATTTCACCTCTCAGGACGTGAGGGTCTCCATCTTGTAAAACAGAAATGCTAACATCTACCGCTCCATCCCTTTCTCACAGAGTGTGTGGAAGCACAAATGGGATAACATATGGGAAAGCCCGGTGGAAATCAGAAAGTTGGATATGAATGGGGAGGATTCAGAGAGTCAGTTTAGCAGTTTTATCTTCATGGGTAGTTTCTCAGTGCCTCACAGAGTTCAAATCCAGTCTGTAAGTACTTCCCCTTTTCACCGTCAGGCCTACATGTGGACAGAGAGACACCTCCTGGAGGTGACTCAGCAGAGCTGAACGGAGCCAAGGAGACAAAGCTGGCTCTGCCCAGACCCCTGAACTTTACCCCACAAGTTCCTCTTCTCTGAGTACCCTGTAGAGGGAGAGGTTTGCTTTACTGACAGTCTGGCCCAGGGCCAGCAGGCTGTAGTCTCTGTAATTCTCTGAGAGATGTTTTGGAGAAGTTTTCATGTGTTCAGGCAAATATTGCTGCTGGCTATCAGGCTTTATTTAAACATGGAATTCTCTGCAGCCTCATAAGTATTTTAAAGTTTTTGAGGGAGAAAAAGAGAAAAGGAGGGAAGGAGAGAGGAAGAAACAAGAACAGCAGCTACCTGATGTTTAATACACATCAACTCTGTATTGGGTTTTTGGG